TCTCATAAAAGCATATAGAGGAGGCTGGGGTTGTGGCTCAGTGGTAGAGTGCTCGTCTAGCACATGTGAGGGACTAGATTCAATCTTTAACACCACATAAAAATAAATAAAGTAAAGGTATATATACATAGAGTATAACTTATTAAAAAAAAAAAAACCCATAGAGGATCCATCTACTTTCTAAGTTTCTCTCTTTCCCTTCCACTGACCTTGGCTGGCTCTTGTGACCTTGGCCCTGGATTCCTGGCCCAGCAGTCTGATAGAGAAGGTGGTAATCTGTGTTACTGCACCCCAGGCATATGTCAACTGATGGTCTCTTTCAGTACTCAATACAGTTAAATGAGATTGGGGTTTTCATATTCCATCCTTACAAGTGGGAGAACCAGGCACAAGATAGTTTGAAATAACTTACCCAAGATCACACAGCTAACTGGGTAGAGAATGCCATTGAACTAGAGCCATCCCTGTTAACCCCTGTATTGCATTTGCTCTGACCTCAGTCCCTGCTCCTGAGTTTAGTGAAGTGCTACTCCCCTCAGGCTCTTCCCACTCCATTTATTCTCTTTGCTTGTTTTGTTGCTTGAGGAACATACACCACCACCACCCTCCTGTCTCACAGCAGAGGAACCAATTCCTAAGCAGTTCAGGTACTTGGTTTCTTATAAGTGTTGAATAATTTGACCTTCCCAGCAGTTGACCCTGATAAAAGGGAATTATAACTTAAGGATGGGTGGCTTTTTTAAAATTGTAATAATTTTATTCACAAAAATATACCAAAAAATGTATAGAGAGGCCCTATATAGTCTTCTTCACTCTCTCCCTCGCCCACCATGTTGCCATCCCTAACTGTAGTATGATACTAAAAAAGATGTGGGTGCTGATGCAGCCACAGAGCTTATTCATATTTCACCAGTGGTAACATATGCACTTGACTTAGCTAATAACATTGGGCAGATTACGTTGGGATAAATTCGTCTTCGTGGCAATCTACTGTTAATGTAAAAAGGGCAGGCTCTGGAACCAGATAAAACTAGAACATGCCTGGTACCCACCTTGTGACTACTCCTTTAATTTTCACACCAGCCTCATATATCAGTTATGAATGTTTTCAACTACAAGGGCCATAATGCTGTAGTGATATAGTTGCTTAAGCATTTAAGGGCTGGTGCAGTGACTTGGTGACACCGTTGGATCTAAACTCCATTTCTCCTGTTATGTGTGTATGTGTGATTCTATACAGTTTTGTCAGATTTGTAACTTAGTGTCACTGCCACTACCACAGTCAACATACAGCATTGTTCCATCACCACAAGGTTTTCTTGTGCTACCACTTCAGAGATACTCCTACCTCGAACCCTGGAATGGATGGCTTTTGGCTACTCAGGCTATTTTGAGTGGCAGTCGTCTTCCTTCCTCCTGCCAGTCCAGACCCTGAGCCTACCACACAGACTCAGTATGGCTAATAATCATGATGACCTTCTCTACCAGTGAACTGGACTTCCTACTCCTCATTCTGATGAGGGCTGGGCCATGTCCCCATTTGTGCCCCCTCTCCTTACTCACCAACTGGAGCCTTACTTCCAAACAGACATTCATTCTGTAGACTTACTGTCACCCCCCAGAGCTCTGATTCACTGTGCTTTCCTGGTCCCTTTTGCTTCTTTCAGCCTGCTGGTTCCTTCTGGGATTTATTTTGTTTTTGCTTAGAAGCTATTTCTTAGTTCTTTGGTTCTCTGATTTTCTCCACATCTACCTCAGTACCAGGACACAGCCGCCTCTGTTCATGAGCAGGGAGCCTGGTCATGGCTCAGATCTTGTTCTGTGGCATCTGGTGGCAGAACTGAACATCAAGAGGTACATGGCTCATATACCTGCAGCACTAGTCCCTGCCCCACGAGGGCAGCTATTTTATTATCTTGCTCAGGACTTGGTAGATTTTTCCATCTGAGGATTCATGTCCTGTTCTCCAATATTAGGACTCTTATAAACCCTACATATCTGTTTTATGACTTTTAATTTTTTTGTATTTTAAAAATCTCTCTCTCACACCCCCCCCACCCCCCCTTCTCTCTCCCTCTCCCCCCCCCCCAATATCCTGAGAAATTTCTGTAAGTCTTTTTAAAAATAACTTATTGAGATGAAATTCACATATTATAAAATAACCATGATGAAGTAAACAATCCTGTTGCATTTAGTACATTCACAGTGTTCTGCAGTCACCATCTCCAAGACAGTTTCATCACTCCAAAGTAAAGTGCCTCACCCATTATGCAGTTTCTTGCCATTCCTCCCACTAGTCTCTGCAAACCCCCAATCTACATTCTATACATGTGTATTTACCTGTTCTGATATCACAAACACATGGAATCCTACCATATGTGGCATTTTTTTGTCTTCGCTCAGCGCAGAGGTTGTGTATGTCAGTATTTCATTCCTCTCTAAGGATGAGTGATCCTGCTTTGTGTGATAAGCCATGTTTTGTTTATCACTTAGGTCTTCCCACCTTTTAGCTATTATGAATTTGTAGATACATGAATTTGATTGAGTCCCTGTTTTCACTTCCCTTTGAGTATATACATAGGAGTAGAATTGTGGTATCATTTGATAATTTAAAGTTTAACTTTTGGGGAAATCTCCAAAGTTTTTTGACAGTGACTATATCATTTTAAAATTCAACCAGCAATGTGTGAGGCTCCCAATTTCTCCACATTCTACCAACATTTATTTTCCTTTTAAAAAATTACTTTGATTATAGTATGCTAGTGGGTATGAAGAGGTACCTCACTATGGTTTTGATTTGCATTCCAAAAATGACTAATGATGTTGAACATCTTTTCATTTGCTTGTTGGTCATTTGTATTCTTCTCTGGAGAAATGTCTGTTCAAGTCACTTGTTTATTGGGTTGTTGAGAGGTTTTTTGTTTTGCTTTGTTTAGTTTTTTGTCTTTTTTTTTTTTTAATTTTAATTGTTCCTTATAGATTCCAAATTTCAATTATCTATGAATTCATTTCTTTTAGCAGTTTCTATTTAATATATCTACTGAGTTTCTTTATTTTTGCATTTCTAGGATTTCTAGTTCTTCCTTTTTTTTTTTTTTTTTTTTACAGTCACCTAGTGTTTTGGGGTTGCTATCTACTACCTTTATTTCTTTGAGAATTTGTAAATGGACTTTCTACTAGCTTTCACCAGATGGCTCTTACCTCTCCTAATTTGATTATGAATTCCTCCTTTGGTTGAATCTGGTTTTTGTCTTTCATAGTGCTGGATTTCCTTTTGTATTTCCGCTCTGTAATTATTTCTTATTCCCAGGGTCATCTGCAGTGGAAGTTCCTTTCTCCTTGTACCCCTATCATGGGGTAGACTCTGCTACCATTTCAGAGCTGCTGCTTCTTCTGTCCTCTGAGTACCAGCTATGTCCTTCACAGAGGGCTCAGTTCATGCCTTCACCCACATTGATGGTACAGGTTGAGTCCAATCTCCAGAAGGGACTGCTTCCACCTCATGGTCACAGATCACGACTAGTCACATCCTGGGCAGACATGCAGCTCCAAAGAAGAACAGTGGTTCTGGCTCCACATGCCTAAGATGTGTGACTTCAGGCCCATCCTCAGGGAGCATTAAGAGCCAGGCCTTCGTGGCTGTCATCTATCCTGTCTCCCTGTGGGGCTTTAGATGAGCTTTGCCTCCACTTACTACTATGGTCTCCCCTTTCTCCCTCCAGAAACTTCTCCCTTCCTGGCCCTCAAAAAATTTCCCTTTCCATATTGAATAGTGACTATTTAAAAATAACATTTTCTTTCATTTCTGTATTTTGACTTGAAAAGTTGGAATTTGTGGCCATCAAGTATATAACCTTTCCTCCAATTGAGAAATAAGAAAATTTTTTTTTTAAATTAAGGCATATTTTTTCTTAATAAACCTGATCTTGGAGAACGTAATCTTTGTCTCAAGGTCTGCAGACTTCCTATACTACAGTCAAGATCTAGACAGGTAGAGAGAGTGGGGCAAAGTCTATTTCTGTAAACAGTGTGGAGGCACCAGGTAGATTGTGTGTTTTCTGTGAACACCTTACTTACAGTGACAAGGAAAAAGAGGAGGCCATGCCACCTATGTCTCAAACTTTATACTTTGCAATCAAATAGGTGACCATGGGGAGCCCTGAGTAAGGAGGCAGAGGCCAAGAGTATCAATCAGTTCACAGAGCTTTCTCACCTGCAGGAGGGTTGGGAATGGTGTTCCTCCCATAACCAAAAGGGGGAGCACTAGCACACACACAGTAGTCTGTCCTGGAAGTCAGCCCCTTGCTCAAGGACCTCAGGGAGGTGCATGTTCAAGCTCACCACCTCCTTGAACATTGTGACTTGGCTTCTGGCCATCCCCGGGGCTCAGCCTCTGGCTTTCAGACTAACATTTTCTCACCTTCTTTCCCTTCTTCAAGTTTTGCCTTTCTCCCTTCTCCTCAAGAAGTATCCACAAACTGCCCTCAGCATGTTTCCCTCACCAACAATAAATAAGTGGATCCAGAGGAAAGAGGAAGGAAGGCTGCTACTGTCTGCCTGGGGCTCAGCAAGAGTATATAGTCCACCTGGGCCAGCTCACCAGGGCACTCCATTGAATTTTAGACCAAAAGCTCAAATGATAAAAAATGTGCTTACATTTATTGATCTTTATTGGGGACATAGACAAAGTTAAAACACTCAGATAATAAGACATATCCTCATCAAAAGGAGAACTTTTTATTATTTTACTAAAAACTAATGGTGTTCTTTCTTGCTTAGAGTTATGAGAGGGCTCTTTTATATATTTCAAGTTCTGTTGATCTGCTTACATTTATTCACAGTTCCCATGATTCTGCACATTTATTTATTTTCATTCCTAGCAAACTTAACTGTTTTTTAATTACCTAACATTTTTCCATTCGCTAAGACTATGTGAATTAAGCTTAGTAAATGAAATATATCTGCCTAACCTGGCACATGCTGTCATCTTCTCCTACAAGGTCATTCCCAGCGACCCCTTCTGGGTGCCAACTACTGAGGAAGAGTACTTACACTTTGGGGAGAAGGCTGATTCTGAGAACCAGGCCCGGAAGTACATGAATGCAGTACGGAAGCGGAAGGGGCTTTATGTGGAAGAAAAGATCGTGGAACATGCAGAAAAGCAGAGAACACTTAGCAAAAATAAGTAGCTGCTACTGTTGGTGAAATCTTTTCTTTATAATGAATTAAAAAATATCATCAAGGGTTTAGTCTTGGGAACATTTCTTCTTTCTGCATTATCTCTGTGCATTCACTTTCAATAAAGTTGATCCATATAAATGTTTTAAAGAGAATGTTGGAGAACATAATTTCAAAGTGTTTTTTTAAATTGCTTCTGATTCAAGGCAAGAAAGATGCTATCATAAATTTTGCAATGGTAAGTTATTAATAGCGTGTGACCACCTCTGCCCCCAGCAGTGAGGTTTGTATACCAAGGTCAGAGTGACTGTTTGTTGGTGGGAACGTGGTGTGCAGACCACTGTGGGGGCATCCTCAACACCAAGCAACCCCTCCTGGACCTGCCGTCTGCCTGTCCCTGTTTCTGGCCATCCCAGTAGGGCTGAATAAATGTCATGAGGGAATTTCTGATTTAATCATCAAATCACAGCATTTAACATCTTTCAGAGACCAGATACTTACAGAGTAGCTGTGTTTTAGTGATTTAAACCAAGTTACTGACCCACCTTATGGTGTCATCTGGCAGAACAGGGTGATGTGCAATAATTAACTTTTACACCCTCTGCTTTTACATTCCCTCATGAATTGCATCACCCTATTTTTAAGTAAGTGTTAATGAAAGTTGTCCCCTGTACCTTTTTTGTAAAAACAAAACAAAAGAGGTATATCTCTATAATTTTCTTTCTTTGATGATTTCTCTTAACCTCACTGAAGGGATATTAGTGAGGTTATTGCTATTATTGTAAGTATTTTTTCAGTATCTCTCAGTTTCCTCATCCAGTTGATCCTTATCTAAGTAACAAATGCAGTTTAGTCAAAAATAAGTTTTGTAATTTTCAGTGTTAATAATTTTTATATACACTTAAGGGAAGGATTCCTTTTCATAACATAAAATTATCAGACCAGGCTTTGTTATTGAAATTCCTTTAATGGGTTTTCTTAATAATCTAGGTCATTCTTAATACTAGTTATAGACATTTTATCTTTAATCTTGAGGGCTTTGGAGTATAACCTGTCATATCTAATTGACTAAAACTCTAGGGAAAGTATGGCTAGATGATTCACTGTTAATAGATAATGATATCTGAATTATTTTAGGAGAGCTATACCATGTATTGGTTTATTTAAAACACTCAGATAATAAGAAAAGCCAGCACAGATTTAGCATTTGTAAATAACATCATTCAAACTGCCATATGTGCTATAAAATGTTTCTTACACTCTACATTTTATCAGCAGATTCTGTATTTAATAGAGAAGTGAAGCATAACCCAGAAAGAGTTGGAGCGGTTTCTGCAGTTCTATTTGGCTCTGCCAGATGTGCCAGTGTTGAGGAAGTGACATGTCAAGTTGATTGATGGCCCCTTTTCCTTTTCCATGTTTGAGGAGATAATAATGGACAGTAAAATAGCCACAAAGTGGCTGGCCAAGGGATATAGCTAATCTGCCATCCAAGTAATCTACCCACTTGTGTACTTTGTGATAAGACCCCAGTCCTGAAATCTAGTCCCCTTCTGTGACAGCATAGCAGTGTGGTCTTCAGTCTATGCCCCAATCCCATGCCCAGACTCTGGCCTCAATTTGTTGAATTTACTGGAAGGAAACAAAAATCTGTTGGTCCTGGAGTGGAAGTGAAGTGTTCCTGTTTTTTGTTGGTTTCTTATAGTTCTTTGTTTATATTAAACAGACTTCAGAGGCCTGAGAAACCACAAAACCAAGACCTTTACTCCTGAAGATTCTTTGTACTGAGGCCCAAAGGCAGCTGTGCTTCTGTTCAGAGATAGGTGTAGAGGGCACCAATATAAGGTCTTTTCCCAGCAGCTTTGGAGCACAGTGAACAGGAAAGGGGCTGGGAGTTGGTTGGGCTCCAGGACCAACTGGAGGAGGAGGAGGAAGAAGAAGACAAGCAGCTCAGAGGACCAGCACCATTGTACTCTCATTGAGAGGCTGGGAGAGCCGCCTTCTTGTTTGCAAAGACATCATTTGGACAACTTCCACTTTACAGTAGAAAAAGAAAATTTTTCAAGTCTTTCAGATGTGCACACTGTTATTTCAGGATTGGGATTCTCAAACTAAAGGTGAAAAGAGAAGTAGCCCAAAAGTAATGTGAAAAAGAGCATCCAGGTGACAGTCATTCTGGACAGAAGGCTGGTGGACAGAGGAGGGAGTTACTTGCCTTTCAAACCCAATAGGAGCAAAGAAAGGGATGAACAATGTGTCTATCAGTCACAGATCTGGGGCACTTATAAATGTACTCTTAAGGAGAAAGGATTGGATCAAACTGGAAAAAGTTATTTGAACATCAGGTTTAGATGTTTCTTTTTTTATTTGCCCTAATTCGAAAAGAAAGAAATAAAATGACCTTATAAGATGTCTCATTGTGTGTTTCCACCTTTTTTCATCTGTCTCTCAGAGTAGAAAAATCAGTGCTGAATTTTTCTGTTCCACATATCATGAGATCATTGACAATACTTCATTTTGTAGACTATGCTTTTCAAAGACATTTTCTTATAAAACAATTTTACTTTTGAGAATGTTAATTAGAGATTAATTCATTCTTCTAGTTTTAGAGGTTTTGAAATGTTTTAAACTTTGCTACCACACCTCTTTTTGAAGGTGGGGGATGGGTACCTAGGATTGAACTCATGGCCACTCAACCACTAATCCACATCCCCAGCTCTTTTTTGTATTTTATTTAGAGACAGGGTCTCACCGGGTTGTTTAGGGCCTTGCTAAGTTGCTGAGTGGGGCTTAGAACTCACCATCCTCCTGCCTCAGCCTCCTGAACTGCTGCGATTACAGGCATACGCCACCATGCCCAGCTGCTACTAGCAGCTCTTAATCCTTCAAAATAAATAGGATTTATCATTTGGAATGGAGTTAATACAGAAAAGGTAGTGCTCACTGGTCAAATATTTCTCTGAAAAAAAAAAAAAGGCAGAATTATTCTCAAGTCTGAGACTCTGTAGTACCTGGGCTGCTCTGAGAACTGATTCTCTTCCTCAAAAAAGGTTAATACTTCCTTCCTGCCTTAGTGAGTGGCATCCAGAGGTGCTCTCCTATTGAGCTACACTCCCAGCCTCATTTATTTCTTATTTTGAGACAAAATCTTACTAAGCTGCTGGGATTACAGGAATGTACCACTATATCAGCTGATCCTTAAGTAGCATGCAGGGGGCCTTCCACAAGCAAATTGAGTTGACCCTCCCTGACAGTATCAGTGGCCTAATGACCTCCTGACTGCTTCCTCCACTGCCAAGTATTTTAGGGGGACTCCAGGAAAATTTCACATAGGCTCTTGATCAAGCCCATTCTCTATACTGTTCTGCGAGTTGCTACAATTCCTTCCCTCCCTGGCCTGATCCTTCATCACTATTTCTCACCTTCATGCCAGTCCTTCCCCAGCTCCTGTGGCTGTTTATTTGAGCCACACTGCTGCCAAAGCTGTGGAATTTTTTTTCTTCTTCCCCCTTTGTGTTATATTGGTGAATTCTCAAAGCAGGGGACTCTTGTGCATGGGTTTTATGGAGCTTCGAGCTCCTTGGCACCCTGCTCTCCATAGGACCCAGGAGGTTGTCTTCATGGCTCAGCTTTTGGATCGAGTCAGTGGTCATCACCACTGTATTCAGAAGTTTTGTTCCCTCCTGTTACTCAACCAGTTGTGTTTGTCACCTTCTTGTTGTACATTTTCTTTTAGACAGTTCCTTAGAGTCCCCTACAATAGACTTTAGTAGGTTCCATCCCATCAATGTATCAGGCAATTCTGAACCTCAGCAATAAACCCAACCCAAGTTTTCCTAAACCAGTGTGTCTCAAAAGTTGGCAGCAGATTGGAATTACCAACCTGGGAGACTGGAAAGTGCCTTCATTCAGAGCTTTTAAAAATCATCCAAGCCCAGGTTTTGCCCTCAGATGTTCTAGAGTTTTGGGTTATAGCCTAGCCATCAAGGAATTAAAAGTTTGGGCTGGGGATGTAGCTCAAGTGGTAGCATGCTCACCTGGCATGTGTGGGGCACTGAGTTTGATCCTCAGCACCACATTAAAAAAAAGTTTCACAGCCAACTCTTAATATGCAGCCAAGGTGGAAAAACACTGCTATAAATACATGCCCTCCTATTCATCAGAGCCACCCCATCAAGTGGCTATTGCTTGTGATCCACCCCCTTCAGGTAAGCAAACTGAAGTTCAAAGAGACTGAGTCCCATACTGTAAGTAATGGAGGTCAGTTAGGTTTCCATTTAACTGCATGTATCAGAAAATCCAGGTGAGAAGCCTCAGCCAGATATTTGTTCCTCATGTAAAAGAAGCCTGTTCAGAGCCAATGTGGTGGCTCCACAGCCTTCAGAGACTCAGGCTCCAGTCTTCTGATTGACTGGTTTACACATCAGTCCTCGACTTTGTTCATGATTTAAGATGACTGCTGGAATCCTAGATTTCACATCCATATTTTGGGTGAGATGGGCAGAAATGTTGCCTTTAAGTGCAACAATCTTCATTAAAGTGGTCTTTCAGAAGCACCAACACGTAGCCTTCATTTACATCCCATCAGACACTTGGTAGCAGGGGAGACTAGAAAGTGCCTTCATTTAGAGTTCTGTTAGCAGGAAAGAAGGGTCTCGTGGCTATTGGAGGGGCGACCAGCAGTTCCTACCCCATCAATCTTGGGTGCTAACCTACGTCTGACTCTGGCCCTTTAAAAATCTGTTACTAGTATTTAGTGATAAGAACTAACATTTTAAAATAACAGCTTGTAGAAAGTGTATTTAGGGATCATGTTCTTGGTTTACTGAGTACTATGTTCAGAGTCTTGAAAAGTTCAGTCTGGTTCACTTTCAAATGATCAAAATATTTTGAGGCCTCCTGCAATGTGAACTATAAAATAGGAATTTCAATTTCCAAAGCAAAAATAAGGTGGGAGTCTTGGCATCAGTTCCAAACAGCTCGGTCTGATTCCTTGCCACATCCATAGCTCCATCTAGGAGACCGCTACTGTCGTAATTTTTAATAGTATGCTGGTAGCATTGGCAAAATCACCATTGAGTCCGTCCATAGGATGGGAATAAATAAGTGGGCATGATATCAAGGGAACTAGAGGGGTGCTAGAGGTTCCCTGACA